ATTGGTAAGATTATTTATTGATTCGAAGAAAATAATTTAGAAGAAATTCATAAAATAACTTATCAACTTACAAGTAAAAGGTTTCGAAACAATCAGTGGAAGTGATAACACGAAGGGAATATGAATATACACAGAAGGAGTATAATGCAAGATATGTTTAAAAAAGTGGTATGATTCACAACGTGAGTATAAGGCTCAAAAAGCGTAGAGAGCTCAATCCAAGTATCGTAAATAAGAACGGTTGGTGGACAGACTAAGGTCAATACCACTATTTAGTGCTTAATTTGAATCTTTAAGTGATAGTTGTTGAGTTAAATGGCTTTGATGTATCTTTTTACTAATTGATTCATTCAAGTAGCTATTTTATTCTGAGTAGAGTGTAAGACACCTGGCAAAATTCAGTTGTCAGAAAAAAGGTGGCAAGTTACATCCACACATAAGAAGTAGCAGTCTTTAAATAACGCGGCTTATTGAAACGTTTAAATGAGTGATTTACACATAACATAACCGCGTCATCTACAGTGAAATACTATGCAAAAAATATACTTTACACTGAATCGGTTTGCAAGAAGTCAGTTCAAAAATTTATCGCTACCGACTGAAGGTGATATACAAGCACTGAACGAAAGAACCAAAGTAGAACCTGGAACACAAGTACATTGATTCAAGTTGCTACATTTCACAGTAGTTTACAAAGAACTGGTGAATAGAAAAAGAGTGATATCAAAGTCGACAAAGCAGCGTGACAATAAACAATCTGACGATAACGGTTGGTGCAAATATTCAAGCTTTTAATCATATCAAGAAATCAATACATCTGTGCCACTGTGACCGATTTTCAGCAACGTTACCAAGTGTTCTCAACCACTGATTCCTACCGTCTCAGGGATCATAGACAAACAGTCCACATCTCACACAACTCATACCAACAGTCAGAGACTTAATCGACAACTGGTGCATTTTTGTCCGGTTACTCTGAACCCTTTTCCATCCAAAGCCAACTTCCCTTGACATGGTACATCGAAGTAGGCGGTGGCTCTGGATGGGCAGTATATGTACAAACCATCTCAGTTGACTGAGGTTCACAATTAATCATCATTAATCGACTTGCCTCTCTTGCCTAGTATCCTTCACCGGATCTCAACATTGCTTAAACAGTGATTCCACCAAACGCGAGCAATGCTACAAAGTCATCTGTGATCAAAAATCTGAAATCACTTCATGTCTCCTACTTTTAACGCCTATGTCTCACAGCAGTAGAACAGGACATAAAGGACCACAGTACAGTATACTTGTCCTCTGATAGATAGTCTGATATGTCGTCGACGCCATAGGTGATGCGAGTTGGTAAATGTCAAAAGGGGCCTTCTGTATCCGACATTAAGAATCATAGCGAATGTACTTTAGGATAGTTATATACGCCCAATAAGATTATTTGGAATGCAATGAGATAGAGATACGTATGAAAAATCGAAAGTACCTTTGTTTGACTGCCAGTACTATCAGTTCAATTTGAACATCATAAGACTGTCGAGTATTGGCATGCATCAGAACACGACCATTGAGCGTTTCTCCAGCCTGGACGAATAACGGTGTCCCCAACAGACAACGTACCTAAAAAGGTTCAACGATAGAGGCAGATAGATTTAGTAGACATTTTAAAATCCCAATAATATTCAAAACTCTTTGTTAGATGTAGCGTTCATGAACACTGCAAACTTGAACAGATATTACTTAACAACAGTCAGCATATGGGAGAAAATACGCGAATGAAAGTACGTGTTATGGAGAAAAAAATTTCAAATAATAAACCTATCTAATATAAGGTAATGACTGGAAATAACTGGCCTAGCCAGTTTCTTGCTGAAGGCAGCCTTAATATTCTCATCGTTGGACTGCACTCGGAATGGTCTTGTTGCTGTAGTTTTATATCTCCACTTAAGTGCAAACACTCACGTGCTTGAACCAGCACGTGATCACTGTCTAAAAGAGTGTTTGAGAAGGGTGGTAGTCTTCCACAAACCCTCTTCAGCGATAAATGGTGGCAGTATAGTATATCCTTATCTACTAGAGAGCTTGGATCGGTGGATACCGCGTGAGACAATGTTTATCTTTGTCTGAAATTCATGCTGGCCATAAATAAGTTGTTACTTAAACGCGGTTATAGCAGGTGATCACTGTTAACTGTTCGTTCAGCTGAGACTCTGAAAATGCCGTTTAGGTGTTTTTCCGTCAAACTTAGCCGACCCACTTATGCACTGAAATACTCTGCAACAAGAACATCTGGATGTTTGGCTTTCAGCAGAAGGCTGGACAGTCTTCGGTAGAATTCACCTTTCACTTCATCCGAACTGCAGTCAATGGATGCGTAAGCAAAGACTACAAGGAGATTACGGCGAGTTTCACTAGTTTTTTATTCATTACTGCACCGTTAAGTTGAGCGGTACAAATGATTAATCAACTGAAATCAAGTTGAGCAGTGTGTTATTAATTACTCAATCCAATATGACTGCAGTAGTATGCGTTCAAGATTAAAACCCACCTCAAATTACTAACAACAGTTTCACGCGTTCAATTCATACTTATTCGACTTTACTTCCCCAACCAAACTGTTGAAACACTCAATTTCACCCAAACCTTCTAAAACACTTCTTGTATAATTAATATGTAATTATATGTTCAACCTGAGAAAATAAATTGGTTCAAGCTGCCTCACATAAAACCATCTCATGCAATGAAAGAAGTCCCGAAAGAAGTGATATCAAAAGCAAATGGTAATAAAAAAAAAAGAACAGATCAATATGAATTACGATTCTCAAGACTTCTGGAAATAACAAAGTGTAAGCATTACCGCCATTTCGACAGACTTTGTCATACCACAAATGCTGATTCCTGTCGCTTCGAAAATCCCAATTAAACAGTTTGCACTCCTCAGGATGACTCAGACCAAATTAGTGCTACGTGCTGGTGTGATCATTCTGAGTCTTCTTCCTACCCAATCGTACCGGGATTAACTTTCAGACATGCGTTGACTGATCACGGGCAACATATGTTCAAGAAGCCTCAGTCAGTAGAGTTCACAATCTCGACGACTGACTTGCCAGCCTTGTTCAGTACCTTCGTCAGACCTCAACATTGCTCACACAGTGATTCCAACATCGATAACCAGGGTTGTCAGGACATCTGTACTAGAAAAACCTGTATTCTCTTCACATGTTCTCTTCTCAGTAGTCATGTCTCACAAGTTGGTGAAAAAGGAACGAAACCCACTCAGCCACCCTGAGTAAATCCGTGCAGTAGGCAGTGAGCCACACCCTGACCCACCGGTTGATAGTCGTCTCCCTAGACCACTATGCCACAGCTCCACAGGTTGCTGAGTGCGTTTCGATTCGAAGCGAACTGCACTACGGGATGCCCACTCATGAATGTGCACAAGGTTGCTGAGTGCATTTCAATTCGATTCGATACTCATCCTTTCACGGGTAGTCGGCACCAGAGATGACGCCAATTGGAAAATACCACACAGGTCTGCTGATACTACTGATGATACTACTTTCCAACTACATGAAGTAGTCGATATGTCCTACCACTTCCAGTAGAGAGCATTGGTTAGTGTTAAATACCTTCTGCATACTCCCTTTACAGTCAGACACTCACCAAAAGCCTCATGGTCGACAGAGTCAAATGCCGCCTTCAGGTCAAGAAATATGGTAAGTGTCGGCTGTTGACCGATAAGTATGTCTGTGGTTTAAAACCCTTCGAAGAGTGAAGATGTGCTCAATGCACTCATCTAAGTCTCAAACTTCACTGGTTTGCTTTTTTCAATATATCTAGTGAGATGTTGGATGACTACAGATGCAAAGATCTTGTACACATTGTATGACATTGATCAAACGGACTCCCCTATGGTTGTCAAAAGACATTTCTTCTCTCTTATGGACTAGAGTGATCAGTGATAGGACTAACTAATTTGCATGCACCACCTAGTACCTCTGTTACACTACTCAGCAATTTCCTACCTCCTTCCTAGAATGCTTATGGTCACAAACCATCAGGTGCTACTGCCTTGCATTGTTTTAGGTTAGAAACAGTCCTCTCGACTTCGATGAGAATTGGAAGACCAACCCGCGTGTTTTAATCAGATTCGGGCTGGATGTTGGTCAACTTAAGCGTTTGTGGACCAGTTGAACTATGCTTCAAAGTCTTCACGCAACGTTTTAGCCGCTTGCTCTTAGAGGTTGTCAGAGTCCTATTCTTTTAGGTGATTGTTTCAGTCTCTCATTTGCTTTTAGAAATAAACAAGATTTTGTTAATGCAATAAGCAAACTGGTCATGTTGCACTTTTTAAAAATCAGAGAAAAACGATGTACAGTTGAAATCCGCAGTCTTGTGATGATAGGTCTTGACGGTTTGAAGGTTTACGTACGTTAGTCAGCTACTAACGTACAAGGTATATTTTCATACAGTAGTATTTATCACAAAAACAGTACAAGATCATGAGATTCTTACCTGGTACCAGTGAGTAAGTGGTTCGGTTGGACCTGTCGATAACCAAACATCTCGTTGGGAGCCCAAAAATCCAACATCAAACCAAAATGCAAGGCCATGAATCTAAAAGTGGTAGCAAAATATATGAAGAAAAAGGTAATCAACTACAAAACAAAATTTAGGCTTAAGTGAGACTATGGATTATACATACTCACACTAATGACTCAGATAATATACTTCGAATCTATCAAATAAAGAAGTTTTATTGTCTAATTTCTGGAACGCCGAAACTTGAAACAGTTGTAATGAAAGCGGTACCTTGAAACACTAACCACTTCTTTGATATTGAGCGTTTCTCGGGAAGGTAAGAAAAAATTCACAGTTCAAACCATAACAGCAAGGTGGCTTCAGTACAAAATGTGAATGAGAAACAAGTAGAAGCATGCTCTGGTCCTAAGCTACACCGGAAATCCAATCTACTGACTACTCGATATGTATCCAATCACACTCTTGCTCTGATTCAAGTAGCTAGGGTAGAAGTATTTTAAACACTTTTAGAACTATGCTTCTCAAATTACCTTTAGCAGTAATACTTACGACGTTTCCCTTAACCCCTTAATGATTACTGTTGCCACGCAATATTTCTCAGTGGAGGTAGGTACCTTCAATTCCGTAGACAGCAAGCATTTACAGATCGAAGAAAAGTCCATAGCTGAACAGGCCACCAAGGTCAGATACTTCTTACGAATCGAAAAGCAACGAAATCGCCGAAAGCTTTATGTCTTTATTTTTCCTGCACTCCTAAATATACTCATCCTGGAAAATTGACATTTGATATACAGAAAAATAATACTGAATCCAATTTGCAGCTTGGGTGTTAATAATGACAATTATCTTTATCTTTATCATCATCATCATCGATATCAACATAGGACCAGGCATTACTGCGTAACGGTCCGAGTTGCCACAGCTCATATCAGTACATCAAGTGAAAAGGCAGTGAGGCGCAAGATGAAGGTAAGAAAACTCAGTCAAAAGAAATTTAAAGTACGAAAAGAGAGAAAGGAAGAATGAGAAAATGCTGAGATTCGGTATAGCGTCGTTAAGATGAGGATAATGTGTGTATACATCTGCGCCACTGACATCGGTTCTGAGCCATACCATCATCTAGAGTCTCCAACCACTGATTCCTCTTGTCCCGCCGACCCCAACCACCCAGCCAGCATCGCCATCGGTGGACGCCATGTCAGACAATGTCTTTCTTTATGTCTGAAATTTGTGCTAGCTAAAAATAGGCGGTTATCTGAACATAGTTGTAGTAGGCGATCAACGTTATCTGTACGTCCAGCCGGGACTCCGAAAGTGCCACTTAAGTGCCTTTCTGCGTCACTCAATCTACCCAGTTGTGCAGTGAAATCACTGACAACAACCATAACATCTGAGCCTTTGGCTTTCGAGAGGAGGCTAGACAGTTTACAGTAGAACTCGTCTTTCACTTCATTCGAACTGCAGTCAGTGGGTGCGTAAGCAGAGATTACAAAGAGACAACAGCGAGTTTCACTATTCCTTTTAGTTCTCACTGTGCCGTTCAGTCGGATAGCACAGAGGCGACTATCAACTGGGATCCAGTTTAGTAGTGAGTTTTCTGTCCTATTGCTTAGTACTATGCCTAAACCTGCAAGACCACGAGAGCTAGCCAGCGAATCTCCAGAAACTCGAAGGGTGAATTTTGCGGATTCACTAGATTGGTCAGGAGAGGTCAGACGAATAACCACACTTGGGTCCTGTATGCGTGTCTCACAAACACAGCACACATTCATGGATCGAGTTGCTAAAGTCTTGGTCAATGAAGCCTGTTGACCGATTTGACGGAGGGTGCAGACCTTGAAGGCTCCAATATGTAATTTGGAGTGTGGCTTAAGGAGACCAGTGATGCTGTTCTGTGGACTCAGATCGTTGTCGAAGGCTGAAGAGCTAGGATAATTTGAAGATAATGTAGTATCGTTAGTTGAGAAACGTGAAGGAAGAGTCGAAGGTAATGATGGGGAGGGGGATAGCAGTCTGAGGAAACTTGAGTGCTGATCGAGTTGTGAGGGCGGTTGACACTTCCCGGCTGCCCATACCGTGGAACGCTATTTCTTCTTAAGATACGTGAAAGAGATTTGTGTGAAAGCAGAGCCCATCGGACATCTGCTTGAGGCCTGTCACAAGTAGCCTTTTGAATATGGTTATTTTTAACTTTTGTATTTTTGGGGCCGGATAGTCAAATAGACAAATGAACCAACACTGCCGATTCAGTAGACCGTGGGGCATGGTGGAGTTATTTTTGGGACCGACCCCTCCACTCACAAGGCGGCATCAGCATGGGACTGTTGGTCATCCAAGAGAAACACCTTACTGCTATCACACCCTATCCAGCTGGCAGCAGCACGACTTCACCCTCAGACCCCCACCATAGTGTAGTAATTTACACAACAACGGTAACTGCTTTTCGTTTAACCGCTATCTAATACACTGTTCTCGTATGGTAGGACCTCCAAGGAACAAGCGTTCCACCAGCATAGCTCGTTGGGTCATTGTGATATGCAAGCCCGACCACCACGTCAAGGTAGCAACTATTGGTCGGGTCCTTCTATCAGGAGATATACAATACTCCAACAAAATCCGATCTATCTGGATCGCCGATTGAATAAGAAATAAGTACTAGCTTAAATACTATAAAGCGAATGATGATAAAGATAGCCAGGTTCTGGAACATAAGCACGCATACCGACGCCCAATAATCGCTGTATTTCTCTACCTAAAGGCGGCATTCGATTCCGTTGATCGAGAAGTTTTATAGAAATGTCTCTCACTGAAGGGCGTGTCGAGTAAGCACATCACTTTATTGAAGGCTCTCTACTCGAACACTTGAGGGCGTGTTAGAGCCCATGGTGAGATGTCCAGAGAGCTAGGCTCATCAAGTGGTGTCCGTCAACGGTGTCCACTCTCTCCATTCTTATTCCATTTTATCATAGATATTCTTATGGAGGTATCCCTCTCGTCACCCGATTAAACAGAGGTTGACCTAATCTCCGGAGAATTTTCGTTAGACCTAAAATATGCAGATGACGTAGTCCGGTTAAGTGAAGACGCTGACAAAATGCAGAGTCTTCTGAACACATTGAGTAGCAATTTGAGAAGTGTTTCTCACCACCCAAATGCAAATTGTTGCTCCAGGATTGGTCTTCAACGGTGTCTCATCGCGACTAACAGTAGAGAGTGTAATGATTGAGTGTGCTTAACTGGGAAGTGGGGTCAGCCCCGGTGGGTCAGTGGCGGATAAAATCTCTGCATGGATGGTTCGGTTGACTTTCGCCAACTTACACCACCTATGGCGCCATGATATTCAATTGTCGATTGGGAATCGCGAATACTGCACAGCAGTCCGGTCTGCTCTGCTGTATGGCTGTGAAACATAGCCATTGAAGGTGGAAAACATGAGAAGGCTTCAAGTGTTTGACCACGGTTGCCTTCGTAGCATAGGCCGTATTCCGTGGTGTCACCACGTGAGTAATGCAGAAGTCAGGTGTAGAGTTTTATGGAGAAGAGGTAAATCAGTTGACGAGGTTATGAACCTTCACCAACTAAGATGGTTGGGACACGTATTACGTATGCCTAACCACCGTCTGCCTCGTCACACAATGTTGGTCAAGGTAGGTCCAGGCTGGAAAAAGGCCCGAGGTGACCAGACTAAAACATGGCACTAATGTATGAAGTCTCTGACTGTTGGTTTGAGCCATGTGGGGTGATGTAGACTAGCCGGTCGGCGGGACAAGAGGAATCAGTGGTTGGAGACTCTAGATGATGGTATGGCTCAGAACCGATGTCAGTGGCGCAGATGTATACACACATTATCCTCATCTTAACGACGCTATACCGAATCTCAGCATTTTCTCATTCTTCCTTTCTCTCTTTTCGTACTTTAAATTTCTTTTGACTGAGTTTTCTTACCTTCATCTTGCGCCTCACTGCCTTTTCACTTGATGTACTGATATGAGCTGTGGCAACTCGGACCGTTACGCAGTAATGCCTGGTCCTATGTTGATATCGATGATGATGATGATATAGAAGGAAGATAATGTCAAAGCTCAAGTGAGAAAGTTGAGCTAGTAGGGGAGGGATCTTGAAGCTTTCTACGGTACCCCATGCCTAAAAAAACGATAAAGGTAATTGTCACTTGCAATTTCATCCGGACAATTACAGGTTTCTAACCAGAAGTAACTTTAAGCATAAGGCATAGATAGTGTTAGTTGGTGTCGATGGACTAACTATCGATGGAAGGTTGTCGCTCTTTCTGGAAGACCTTATTTGGATTCCGATAACACTTTGACATTAAAACACGTACATCTGCACCCTACCAGTTGTGCGAAACAGACAGCATTGAAGCCTGTGTTCCAGACAAGAAGAGACGGACGTCAAGCTGAAACTCAGGGAGGACTTAGCTTGGGATTTATCTGAACACGGCAGGATTTCTTTTCTAGACAAAGCCATATATATTAATCAAACTGCAGTGGAAACAGCAATGAAGACAATCTGCAGCTTACAAAAAGCTGAGAAATACAACTAATTTCCTATAATTGCATGCAAAATGATTAAGTTGACATAATTTGTGTTGTGGTGTCATGACGTCAACAACTTAAAAGTCAAGCATGGCATCTTAGAGAGAAGAGGAAAGCCAGTCGATGAGACTGTGAACCTTCATCGACTCAGGTAGTTGAGACATGAGTTACGCACACCTGGTCAGTCATTTTTGTTGCACAATATCGGCTGAAATAAGTTCAAGCTTCAGAAAGGTTGCAGCTAGTCAAACTAAAACATGGAATCATTCAATGAAGTTTTAGACTGTTGATCCGAGCCGCGTAGGGGACTCCAGACCTCTCAGTTGAGGTCCCTAGAACAACAGATACCAGTGGTTGGATACCTCAGGTGATGACATTCAGAAACGAACTAAATCGCATAGATTTATCCACACATTATTTTCGCCTTATTCGTCAAACTGAATGAAGTAGTTTCTCATTTCTCCTTCCCGTCTCTTCACAATCATCCATCACTTTGATTGCTTTTTCCTCTATTCACTAATCGTTTAACTTCATGCATTCTCTCTTGATATGGTGACAAAATGTGTAACAACTTTTACTGTTACTCAGTAAAGCCAGGTTTCAGGCCAATTTTGTCTACGTGTCGATGAATCACCTCAATACTGACAACTTTAAAAACGATCTAATTAGTCACAAATTCACAAACGATGTCGAAAACTTAGCCCGCTTTGAACGCTGTACAATTCTTTTCGATGACAGTAAAACCAGACGACAACTTATTTAGAAGAATATACTTAGTTCCGAATGTTCTCAATGCCAACAGATATTGTATGATACAAATAACTCAGACTTTCAGTTGTTTAGTACCTAGTCCCAGCATACAATCATTTAAAATATCACAAGGGCAAATATGTGCACAGTCCAACTGGTCCACAAACGCTTAAGTTGACCAACATCCAGCCCGAATCTGATTAAAACACGCGGGTTGGTCTTCCAATTCTCATCGAAGTCGAGAGGACTGTTTCTAACCTAAAACAATGCAAGGCAGTAGCACCTGATGGTTTGTGACCATAAGCATTCTAGGAAGGAGGTAGGAAATTGCTGAGTAGTGTAACAGAGGTACTAGGTGGTGCATGCAAATTAGTTAGTCCTATCACTGATCACTCTAGTCCATAAGAGAGAAGAAATGTCTTTTGACAACCATAGGGGAGTCCGTTTGATCAATGTCATACAATGTGTACAAGATCTTTGCATCTGTAGTCATCCAACATCTCACTAGATATATTGAAAAAAGCAAACCAGTGAAGTTTGAGACTTAGATGAGTGCATTGAGCACATCTTCACTCTTCGAAGGTTTTAAACCACAGACATACTTATCGGTCAACAGCCGACACTTACCATATTTCTTGACCTGAAGGCGGCATTTGACTCTGTCGACCATGAGGCTTTTGGTGAGTGTCTGACTGTAAAGGGAGTATGCAGAAGGTATTTAACACTAACCAATGCTCTCTACTGGAAGTGGTAGGACATATCGACTACTTCATGTAGTTGGAAAGTAGTATCATCAGTAGTATCAGCAGACCTGTGTGGTATTTTCCAATTGGCGTCATCTCTGGTGCCGACTACCCGTGAAAGGATGAGTATCGAATCGAATTGAAATGCACTCAGCAACCTTGTGCACATTCATGAGTGGGCATCCCGTAGTGCAGTTCGCTTCGAATCGAAACGCACTCAGCAACCTGTGGAGCTGTGGCATAGTGGTCTAGGGAGACGACTATCAACCGGTGGGTCAGGGTGTGGCTCACTGCCTACTGCACGGATTTACTCAGGGTGGCTGAGTGGGTTTCGTTCCTTTTTCACCAACTTGTGAGACATGACTACTGAGAAGAGAACATGTGAAGAGAATACAGGTTTTTCTAGTACAGATGTCCTGACAACCCTGGTTATCGATGTTGGAATCACTGTGTGAGCAATGTATCTTTGAGATTGTTTCTTGACTGACTCCTGTTTCTGTTCTTTTCTCTTCTTGATAATGTTGCTATGTCATTTTGTATGCCTATCTGGTAGTTTATATGTTGTACAGATTCTCTTTTATCTAGTGTTGCTTTGTAGTTCTTATATTTGAATGAATGTAAGTAGGCATTGGTTGGTTTACTTCCATACTTTTGTGATTCAGGAAACTTTCATATTACTTAGAGTAGGTTGGAGTAGCACAACATAGCACAATAGTTGTTTACTCCAACGTGGTAGTTGATGTCACTGTCCTAATGTTATAATCCATGTGTCACACTTGTTGGATTAAGGCTATATCTGCCAGGAAATGAACCGTTCAGTAGTTTAGGATTTGACAGCAAAGTGTATATCGGGTTTTGGAACACGGGTTCACTTATCGACACTCGATACTAGCTGTATTTCTCTGGCTGAAAGCGGCGTTCGACTCTGTCAACTGAGAGGTTTTGTGGCAGTGCCTAAATGACAAGGGTGACGAATAAGTACATCACTCTTAAAAGCTCTTCACTCGAACAACCGTGGGCGTGTTACAAGCTGTGGTGAGTTTCCAGGTGAGCTTTGTACACCAAGTGATGTTCGTTAAGGTTTTTTACTACCTACATTTCTGTTCAATTGTCACAGACATTTTTATGTAGGTCTCCCTTTCGTCATCTGACATCACAGTGATTGATTTAATTACAAGTGAGTCCATGGTAGATCTAGAAGACGCAGAAGACATCTCGCCACCCAAATGCGAACTGCTGCTATGGGACTGGTCTTCAGTGGTGCCTTGTCTAACAAAAAAGAGTGAAGTGGTCAAGTGCATTGACCACTTCTCTCACCATGAAAATCGGATCAGTCATGATGGGTTAGTGGCTGACGAAATCTTTGCACAAACACAGAAGGCTCGATTGGCTTTCGCTAACATTATTCCATCCGTGGCACCATCGCGATTGCCTACTAAGAGTCGGGTGTACTGCACTGTAATTCGCTGTGTTCTTTTGCATGACTGTGAAACATGGCCATTAAAGGTAAAGGACATGAGAAGGGCTGCCGATGTTTGGCCACCATTGCCTTGGTAGCATAGGCCGTATGTCATAGTGTCACTACGTGAGTAACGCAGAAGTAAGGTGTAGAGTTTTAGGGAGACGACAGTCAGTCGACAAGGTCGTGAACCTCCAACTAATGTGACTTATGTTACGCAAGTCTAGTCACCGTCTGCCTTATCGCGCAATGCTGGCTGAAGTGGATTCAGGCTGGAAAGCGGTTCGCTGCCAAACAGAAGCTTGGGATCATTGCATGAAGTCCTTGACTGTTGGTTTGAGCCATGTTAAGAGATGCAGACTAGCCGGTCGCGGTTCACGTGACAACAGAAAGCAGTGGTTAGAGACTCTAGGTGATATGGCTCAAGTGCATCCACACCTTACCTCCTCCTTGCGCTCTTTACTGGTTTTCACCAATTTTTTTCATTCTTCACCTTTTATATTACCAGTTTGTTAATTGTTGTGCTAAGATGTGACAACTACAGCTGTTTCGCAGTAGTGCCTGGTCCTGTGTTGGTACTGAGTGATTGATTGCACAACAGACATTTCGTACAGATAATCAACATTTTGAATTGTGCCGTTTTATGTGTTAGAATGCGGAGCAAGGAAAGATTACACACTTGTTTCAGTGTACTTGCAGTATCTTTTGCTACATTAGGATAAGACTCCACAAAATCAAACACCTCCGAATCGGTTTTATGCAACCAAAACCAAACCGATGTTTTTAGATTCTCTGGGCACTCTTTTTAAGTCGTCAATAACAATACGCCTTTATCTGCACACCAGAGAATCAATGGCTTTCTGGTGTATATACAGTGAGTAGCAGCCAGTCACTACAGAAGACAAAAAACTTTACAAACACCTCACTAACCTTTTCTCTAGGTTTTAAATTCCCAGACCAAAATGCGTTTTGATTTGCACATTTTGTGTGCCGTGTTCAAAAAATAACAACAATCTGCGTGACACGCGAACAAAAAAATACTAATCAATACACTGAATATTGAAAAATATCACAAAACAGTGTACATGCAAGTACCGTAACTATACCAGTGTAATCAACATGCTACAATTAATAAACTTTAGTGTCAAGGGTTAAAAATACGTACAACTATGGATGCTAATGACTCAACCTCACGGTAGGAAAAAAAGTTATATGTACAACACAGAATACACGAAATGCAAAAACTTACTGTGGAACAAGTAGTAATCTTGTAAGTCAAAGGAATATCGATAGAGGCTAGTTCAGCTTCAGAAACAGTACGGAAGTCAACCATGTGTACACATGGCAAAGCTGGACAGATACCGATGTCAAATGTATCCACTATCGGCTGGTTGAAATACTCAGTGACTGCGGCGTTACGTAAAGCAGTTAAATCCATGCCATGAAAACTCTAAACATAAACGCAGAGATAAGGGTAACAACTCAAGCAAATCAACAGGGCATAAGCACAAATCGAATTTGCAGAATATATATGGACGATGGCAAAACTTGTGCTTCCGCTGAATACATGACTAACGACATAAGTACAGTAGATCATTGATCAACAAATTGTTGTGAATTGAAAGATAAAAGGGATTTCGATTATGCAGCGGTACCGATTATTGAGCACCGAATGATGGATCACTTACTTCTTTACGAACCTCCGTCTGAGCTGGTGGGGATGACCACTGATTGGGTTTGATCACCTATTCAAGGGATTAACGTATTTTAAAATTGGGCTACACTTCACACATTTCTTTTCATAAACCATGGTAACGACACCGCTGAGCGGTGAAAACAAATTTTTAAAAACCGACCATAATCACTACAGCTTATTAAAACACAAAAACCTAGGCTTCAAACTAGGGAAAATTAAGAACTGTTGTTAGGGCGAAAAAAGAGTTAATGAACAATTTGGAGGTTTATGGGGATCTGCTGACTGATTGATTTCAAGTTGGTATTTATCATGGACTGACATCAGTTGGAGAACTATTGGGAACCTAGGAGCACTCTGTAGAGCTGTTACGTTCTAATATGGAACTCTTCACCAGTGAGCACTCATGCCCCGCCAGGGATCGAACCCAGGATTTATGGGTTGTGCAATATCACGAACTGACAGAAGTAAGAAAATGTGGTCCACTGGGTTCTAACCTGGCGGTTCAATGGTATTGTGCTCGTAAAGTAACCCAGGGGTTCTAAGTCCGATTATGGGTGCGCACTGCTGAGGAGTTCTACATTACGGCGAAATGGTTGTCCAATGGTTCTCCAAATGATATCAGTCCATGATGAATACCCAATTAGAAACAAAGTATTAGTTGGTGTAAACGAAGAACAGAATCAGGAATCAATATACGCGGAGAAATGAGCACAACTAATAGCATATCATCTACACTGGTTATGACTGATCGCTGCAGGATATCAGTGGCCTCGTTGTTCGGTGAACATATTCACTAAAGGGCATGTAAACACACACTCGTGAACAATGTAATGTAATTAAGCAACCAAGTACACTTTGATGTACTAGGTCGATAGCCATAACTGTCGTAAAAGGGTAAACAATAATGCATAACTTTAAACTTTGGTGTATGCAGCAGGACTCTAGTCTGAGATGCAGAAGTTGGTAGTTAAATCACTAAATCGTTATCACGGATCTCCAACCGCAAAGTACATGTAAGAAACAGACATTTGAACTGAACACTGAGAAAACGATGCTCGTATTTCAAAATAACTTCGTCATATTACTTTATTTTTTCGACGTATTATCAACATATTAGTGTACATTTTGTGAAAAACACTTTCGACATGGCAGCTTAAAAAGAACTTTCTGGTAATATTTTCAGAATTAGACTGCTTCATTTTTCATACTTCTTCCGGGTGAATCAATATCTGATGGAGAACAAGTAGAAAATGATATGCGACTCAAAACAATGACCCACCTAATGAAGTATGAGATATTTGAAACGCGTTGGCAACAAGTTTTGAAGATCTAAGTTTCATGAATATACGCGAAGGCAAAATATGTTTGCGGTTTCAAAATTACTTCTCTTGCAACTCACCTTTTACCTCAATCGTAGAGGTGAACGTTCATACTATCTAGGTTTCAACTGATTCTATACATGGTTTTAAGAGGCCCACAGTAGAAAAATAAACTTAACATCTAATTAGTGTGCATAGCCCGGTCACGTAAACGGTTATTAGCAGATTGAGTAGGTCAGTTGTTGGGTTTTTAACTGCAACACTGGAAGACAAGTTTGATGCTTTTATTTTACTTTCAGATATTTTACAGATGACAGAAATAAATGTGCAATCATTAAACTGACCTGTTGATACCAAAAGTTAGCTTTTCCATATTGTTCGGCAAACAGAGCTTCATCACTGAATGGAATGATATACAATTTAGCCACAGACGGAAACATTATTCCAGGACAATGTATTGATCTGTTCGATAACCTTGTCGACTTATTTTCCATCTGATCATATATATAAACATCTTCACAATCCACTTCATCCGTCAGTACTTCGTCGGATTGCTCCGAATCAGACAAGTGCTTAACTGTGTCTGGTGACTGGTCCGCTTCATTCGGTTGTTCTCTCTTTTGTCTGACCTGCATCTTTTTCAATGATTGTCGAAGATGTGGCGCCAGAAATTTTCGTGCATGAACATACGATTCCAACATTCGTTCATTGTATAACATATAACCCATTGGCTCAGAAATAATTACATCCACTGGTTCCGGTAATGTGATTTCTTCTATTTTCCCACTAAGAAAGAAACAAAACTTTGACATTATCACAACTCCGTATTTGTACTGCTCACTCAGCGTTATCACATTTTTAATTCGATTATCCTATACTATAAAATAAAAGATGTTAGGCGAACAGTCACTCTTTTTAGAGATATCATTCCCAATCTATAGAATCGTATATGAATATTCTATTCGCAAAGTAAAAGAAAATGTTTCAGAAAACATTTTTGAACGGAATTCAGTTTTGACTATAAATCAGGAGGTCGGAAAAAGCATTACGTGATGTTTTAAATAGTAATGAGAAAACTTACCTGAAACAGCGATATTTGATTACTGAGTCAAATGATGTAATACGGTTAAAGAAACTGGTGAATGTACTGAGAAATCAGATCTATAGGGGTAGAAGAATGTGATATGTGAGATGCGAAAACTTTTGTCCAGTCACTTCAGTTAAAATGAACATGACCTATAATAACATTTTACCCTCACGTTTTTTTTCCACACCTCACACATTCCTCCTCCTCTCAAATGGCGTCCTCCGATATCACAACGATGGATACAAATAGATCATGTTGCTATAAGCCATCGTTCGAGATAATCAGTGGAGGATTACTGCTGTTTTTGAGCATACGTTTGGACTCTGACCAAACGTTAGTACGGGCATGTGTATGTCTGCGCATTTTTGGTCACAGGAAACAGATGACAGTAAAGTCTCTTTGAGCTCAATCGGAAGATGAGAATGTTAAGTACGTATATAGGGTGGAGGTAGCGAAAGATTTACCTCAGCGTGAAAGCAATCCTCATCCTGAGGAAACCTGGCGTGATATTGAATCTGCTGTAGAAACAGCGTTAAAGACAGTTGGTAACATACACCCGAAAGTTAGCAAGCATCACTGGATTTTCGCAACGTCATCCGAAACAGTTGATGAGAAAAGACTGATTCTAGCTGACTCCAACCACGATGAAGAGTGAAAACAACTTGAACGCAAACTGACCAAGAGTCTTTGCAATGATCGTCAGCAGTGGCGGGTGAAGGCATCAGTGTTCGATTAAACCCAGTAATTATTTAGGCTTGTTAAAGAAACCGGCAAGAAAACGATGGTGAGGGAGGTCATCACCAAAAAGGAAGGGGGACTGATGACCTCCCAGGACAGGCGGCTAAAACGTTGGGCAGAACACCTTGAAGAACAGTTTAACTGGCTCACAGCAACGCTTCAGTTGTCCAACACCCAGTATGAAGCCGAGTGGCATGTAGATGTCGATCCTCCGAACCCTCTTGAAGTTGAGAAGGCTATCTAACTTGATACAATGCAAAGCAGGAGATTTGTCGCTCAAAGTTTTCAAGGATGGAGGTAGGAAATTGCTGATTGACGATAGTACTAGGTAGTGAATTGGAATCAAGGGTAGTCCCATTAGACTGGCTTACTTCTCTGACCATCCCAGTCTATGAGAAGGGAGAGAAGTCTTCCGATGACAGCAATTGGGGAATCGGTTTAACTAAGTGTCCAAGATCCTTGGATCCACAGCTATCCGACACTTAAGCGGAGCTCAACAAGAGCAGACCCGAGGAAACTAGATAGGTTTCAGACCTGGTCGAGGGTACACGTGAGGAAAGAATAGTAGGCAAAGATGTTAAAGGTTGATAATCTGAAAGAACTTGAGAACTGAGACGCCTACATGTTGAAATATCACCGTTCACTGGATACAGTTTATCAAAATATATGACGTTTCGGCGTCGAGAAAGATAATTTTTTAGGTAAGTCGTATTATCAGAATGAATGCAGATGCACATAAATCACTGGTCACAAATAAACGCAAACATTCAAATTTTAGTAGCAGTTAACACAAGAGCAACATTAGTTACACAAGGTGCCTATAGACACTAACCAACGGCTCAGCATACCAGAAATGAGTTAGAGATATCCTATTATAGGTTGCTATATTGCGGGCGAAAAGTATTAATATTATGGATATTTAGTCAACGCCATCTGGAATAGTGTTAATTAGTATTTCGTGCTAAGGTTAAAATAATCGGTGTCAAGCAGATTAGACGATAGATGTTACGTAGCAGACAATTATAAGCAAGAACTGACCTAATTACAACGATGCGTCCCGCCAATTTATTTGCCTGAACTAAACTATTACAATGAGAAGCCATGTTCGAGGCTTCGACTGCATAAACCTTTTTCGCACCTGCTTGTATGGCGAAGAAACTCAAGATCCCCGAACCTGCACCAACATCCAACACCACTTTTCCACGAAAATCAGCTGAAGAGTTCGCAAGAATGGCTCTTTGGTAAGTTGATGTGCGGATATAATCCTAGGAGATATAGACAAGATAGAATAGTACGTAAAAATCAGCATGAAGGACAAAGATGCATGCAGTTTAACATACAATAAAGTTTCGAAAATGGTTGCATAAGTGTTGTTTATTAGCTGGGTACAAATTCGTTTGCTGTGATGAGTAACGTACGTGAAAGCCACGAGACCAGTTACCTGGACGACGATTTATGGATTTCAGCATAATAACCAAAGTAATCAACTTGCATATTAGTTTAAATACTATCTACTTTCCTAAAGCAAAACGGGCTTAAGGAACAAGTAAACTGCTCTGCCAACGCGCTGATAAATATATAATCGGACCGATGCCAGGAAAACAGCTTAGCGACTTTTAACGACTTGATGTTTACGCTTGGCGTTGATGACACTGAAGTGATACTATCAAGGCAAATTCATAAACGTAAGGCCGTAAAATTTACCGTCGAAATCCGGTATCGATACAAGGGAATGAAGTTGGTTAGAAAAGTGAGCGATAATCCTTTCAGAGGAAGGCGGAAAAGAAAAAAATCAAGACAATGATAGAAGGGTAAAAATTAGAAATAAGAAACAAACTATAGTTAGGCAATACATAGCTTCAGTGCTTAGCATTAGTAAACGCCAATGAACTATGGTCTACAAGTTAGTCACTGTGTCGACGTTGATTTACTTGACGTTAATAGAACCGGTGCATATGCGCGGAATTTATCAAGGTGTTTAAACGTTTTAATCACAATTTAGGATGGTTGTAGATGAGGAAATATTACCAACAAAACTTCGTGCTCAACATACTTTTGTTGTGGGGATAATCGAGGCAGATTCCAAGACATCCTACAGTCCATAACCAGTACGTAAAGCTGCAGTTTACGAATATTACCTCTTTGAAGGAGCTTGATATTGAACACCGTGAAGTGGAAGAGAACCCTACTGCAAATGACAAATTACAACGGATGACAGAGAATTCAATATTTAGAAAAACTCATTCCTGAGCACGCGATGTACGTATCTAGCTAGTCTTGACTACAAACAGAACCAACCTGCAAGCCCTTACTAACCAGTCCTCTTATAATAACTTCGCCGCTATTGGATAAGTTGTCTGCACCTATGTACTAATGCTGCTGACTGACCCTTTAAATTGAAAACTTTAATATCCAAATACCTGTAGCAAGTTTTAAACTAAGTGCGCTTAGTTGTCATATACAATCATTATCACTAATTATAGTCTCATATGCAACCATATATAAATAATTCGTGACATCCCAGATTGTAGAACGTACCTGCATCATATTTTGCTGTTGACTAATGTAGCTGTAGAACTGGAAGTACTGAACTGCAGACCACGAGTCTGTACGTTTGTCGAATATAGAGGAGCAAATCCCTTTATTGTTTTCATCATCCTTGGGTTTCCGAATATCCACCGAATCCTGGACATACATTTATCAAGTGCAATGCTTACTAAAAAGTTTCGAACATCTCCTAAGGAGTCGAAGGCCAAGAGGTATGTCACAAAAGTCCATCCCCAACGCTTTTTCGGGCACATACAGCCACTATCTTTTGAGAAAAACGGTATACATTGACAAGAGAACTGAGATGAATTTCTTTCACAAGTTCATTATGCTTGCTTCAGCAATGATATTAGCAATTCAATGGACTTACTGGGCAGTTATCACTTTAGAGTTTCGCAACTCGACTGTTAACCCAGTTCCCAAGGTTCGACAGGTGAAATGTGCCTCATCGAATATGCGGAGTTCGACATTGTGATAATCTGCTGACATGCCTGAGCGCCAAACTCGAAATTTGCGGGCAAAAGGCAGACTTAAAATGTGAGAGCTTCAATTTAAAGTACGGATATCATGCTATTCAATCGACATTATTATTCACTTTTTTTGGTGATTTGATATTCAGTTGTGGTTTTGAGGTGCAAAAGAAGAGTTCCAATGTCCAGTATTCTGCGCGCTTTGAAAAAAATAGTGAAGTTGAAAGCGCTTGTAAGAAAGATAACACCTAATTTCAAGTTGGTATTCATCACGGACTGGCACCATTCGGAAGAACATTGGAGACCCAGGGGTACTGGACAGCTATTCATTTCTTGCATCGGACTCCTCAGCAGCGTGAGCGGTGCCCCCGCTAGGGATCGGGCCCGGGGCCTTGTGGTTCCGTGGCCTGTGCGTTAACATTCGGCCACTGGGTTCGAGCCCTATAGCAACGCGCTGGCCAAGGAACTTAAGGGTCCTCAGTACGACCCCTGTCAGGGGCACTGGTGTGTATTGCTGAGGAGTCACACACTTTGAGGAAGTATTTGTCCAATGCTTCCAGGTTTCCAACGCTCCTGCGGCCTATGTGAGTCCCTGACAAATATCGACTTGAAACCAATAGGCCGTCTAAAGCACCCGCATTAGCACCTGACTGTCGTGCTTAAGAAAGCTCATGGACTTCGAAAGCATATTGGATGGTTTAATGGCGAAAAATTACATTTTCTCTGCGGCAGTATGACAACAGTCGCTGAACCGAGCCAAGTGGTAATAGCAATAATGTATTTCACACAACACAGAGTATATGAAAACAAACCAGTTTGATCATTTTGGTAATGCGAACTAATTGTTATGTACAATATCCAGCCATACATTAGACATCGTTATTCATGGCACATAAGAGATGCCTCTGGAGAAAGAACGTTAATACTTCACAGACAGCAAAGAATAAAACAGATAAACACCAACATAGTTGTTCATCATGCTGAAGCAAGCTCAGTTCGAAGTTAGGAACTGTTTGCTTTTTGTTTGAAGCTTCCGATATTGTTTAAGGCAGGGCGAGTAGTAATGCCGTGACTTTGGGTTGTGTGTGTTCGTCATAGTTTTGATCGCACGGTGCACGCTGACAAATTAGATTACCAGGATTCCAAATGGATGAAGGACTGGCTAGGTAAACCTGAAAAATGGATGACAAAAGCGAGCGGCAGGCGAAATTTGAAACGGGTGCATAAAAATACTACTCAGAAGTATACCGACAATGAAACATGTAGGGGAGTTCATTGTACTGACTACAGAAGTTACTTGAAGAAGTATCTCAAACCCACTGTTCAGAGGTAAGCTTGTGGGAAGAAGATGAAGGTGCATACGAAACTAGTGAAAACTAAATTGAGTCTGAAGATTTCACTATGGAATAGAGGATTTTGGACGAGGTATTCGCTTATGTGTAGAAAACCTGTGTACAAAAGTTCAATGAAGTTATAAACATTTGAACAGAACCCGCGCTTTTCGGTGTAATAGTAACCACGCTTTATATAGTCATGGGGGAGGGGTGATCATAGTGTTGCCATATCACATCATATCAGGGCTATAAAGACAATATGGTGGTTCAGAGTGAGTTGAACTAGTAAACCTGGCGGGCATTTTTATTTTCTTTGGTAACCTCATCCTTTTAACGATTATTTTGTCGTCATAAATACAAGAGCTGTAGGTTTCATATAGATACCGCCATACAGGAAGGGCGGTTCAAGTTTATTTCCTTGCCATCATACCTCTTGACCAGTTGTGGCCAGCTCCGCATATTTTCATGTTAATTTTTTCAATATTTTTGCGCTTCGCTCAATATCGTTGATGGTTACGGGGATATTTGCAGCCTACTTTCAGCTGGCTAATACCATGAACACTTTATTGACTCGATAATCCCTTGGTATTTACCACACACCGGGCAACGCTTATGACCATTATACCTCCACTCATGTCATGGTCAAGCTTGATTTATGACGCAAAACTGACTTGTACTACCGTACAGCACAAAGACTCCTAGATCATTACGAAGAGAAAGGGGACTAGTGGATGGAATATTCACATGCAGGAGGGGTTAAGAGTCGCTGAACTATAGGAACGTTGAAGTTAGGAACAGTAACTAGCATCAAACATAACTGCGACAAATTCGCACAGAATAGTATGTAATTCAAAAAAATTACCCGCCGTTTGACAAATTCTTGGGTGGTTGCATTAGATTATTTCGTGTTGGACTCTAGATATTTGATGGGCCAATGAGGGACATAGTGTCGTTTATGTAGGGTCCATTAAAAATCCTGAGTACTCCAAGCTCATTGAAATAGTGGTTCAGGGTTGAATTAAACTGGGATATGGTCTTGCAGCGCCGGACACTATGCGCAAGTGTTAGCATAACGAGTTGTGAAAAACAGAGATTTGAACTGTTTAGACGCACATGGTAGTGTGACTAGGCAGTCTTGGTCTCCAAGGTCGTAGAGCTTTTTGTCAGCAAACTTTGGTGTATCCACATTGGTAGTCAGTTCATGGTGTGGGACTTTATAGAAAATACTGAGGTTCAACTTAATTCGCCTTAACCACATGGGCTCTGATCGATTAGCGCGACACCTGCCTCTGTATGACTTATCGGGGGAAATAAGCCTGGTAAAGTGCCGTTGAGTTTTCTCTATTTTCTGATTATCAGTAGACCGCAAGCAGCCACGTACAGCGGAACAGTATTCTAGTAGTGGTCGCACATTCAGAATGGGTTTGATTTCATTCGGGCGAAAATTCCGGTGAACGAAGCCGATGAGGCGGCGTGATTTGGATCACTGTGGAGTTGGGTGTTCTGCAACGGAAAGGTCACTAGAGTGCCTTATTCCAAGGTCCCAAATACTATTTAGCTGTTGGAGTGCAATATCGTCCAGTCGAAGATTAGCTGGCAGGCTCTGTTCACCGAAGAGCGTAAAGCCGGACTTCTTTGTATTCAGGGTGACAGTCACGTGTCAAACCACCTTTGCAGCTTGTCAGGATCGTTTTGTAAGGTGGTATTGATGTCGCTCCTTTGATTGGGGTGAAACGTGTACACTACTTTCAAGCCATCTGCAAAGAGGAGGGTTTTCCCTCAGTGAAAGCGGGCGCATATATCATTTACATACATTATAAAGAGAATAGGTCCCAGGACGGGCCTTGTGTAACTCTAGTGGTGATACTTCTGGGAAGGGAATTGTGCGAGCCTATTTTGGCAACCTGGATGCGGTTCAGCGGAAGTGAACCGATCCAACCATGGAACTTGCCACTTATTCCAAATAAATTCAGTTTATGAGGAATTGAAAGGGTGATGCACCTTGTCAAAGGCTTTGGTGGAATGAAAGTAAAGCAAGACAACCACTTTTTCATCTTTGGCTTAATTTATCTGAATGACTTTCTCCGACAATGTGGGCCTAAAAAGCTGCTACAAGCTTCATGACACCATGCAGCACTGGTCCCAGGCTTTACTTTCCATCCACCCCAGTATTTAAATCTAGCTTCGCATGCTATCTGTAGACAGCACTAATCTATTGGGTATTTGCATTTTTTCGGCCCCATTTAGGTTTAACATTTGGTGTACTATGTACCCCTGTTGACTATGTGACCCATTTAAACTGAGGAGTGTTGGGGCCCAACCACTATTGCCAGGTTACTGTTCATACTGAGTGATAACGCTGGTGTTACTCTTCACCTCACTTGTGTAGCAAAATGGTTTTTAAGTAACATTCGTAACCAGTAATATCCTCACAATCGCATATATCAGGAGACTACGTTTGGTGTGGCGACTTATTCTTCTCACATTTTCTCATCTTGGCCGAAACAATAACATTCAGATATTACCTGCGCGAATACATTGTGATAGTTCATTATTTGGACTAAGTGATGGTTATTATTCGAGTTCTGTGTCGAGAACTACGTGCATACGGGGCACAACGGTTGCATTAAGTCGGACTTCATTTCGCGCATTATACAGGTTGACCGATGGTCGTGGGAAAAGATACCAGCGATATAGTATCTGGTTGCTACAGCGAGAGGTTAATAAACATGCCTTGATTGGTTAAAGACTACATACCGCCAACGACGTGCTTATTGGCTAGCCGTCTGTGAATAAAACTATGTTGGAGCTATTTTCGTCCTTGGTTTTTTTGAACAGGCAAAGTTGTCGGCTGTTTCACACAAAAAGTACATTTCATAAAGGCAAATGTAGAACCTAAGGAACCGCTGTTCGCTACTCCGCAACCCAAAGCTTGAAAGTTTAAGATAAGATATGGACGTTAGAGCCAGTGAGTACGAAATGGCGAATCTATGGCGGACACTTCAGTATCACTAGTCATGGTTGCGGTGTGTCTGTGTTTATTTTTGGTTTCCTACTATTGCTGTGCCAAGAGTGGACTCAGGCTGATTGCAAGCCGTGGCTCTGCCGGTTTGAAAAGGGCCTAACCCCATATTTTGTCGAAGAGTGTTGATGGTGCTTAAACATCGGAGTTGGCGCATTTACTTCGGTACATTAAATTTCCTTGAGTGGGCCCACGTCCTCCGCCCGTTCGTGTACTGAAGACCAACGGGCACGATGTCACATGGATTGCAGAAGCTTATACTGACCTTAAAAGACAATGTCTAGAGAGTGCTTGCCTATTTCGAGGTTAGTGGGGCTTTATCTCGTAGGCGGTGTTCATCGCGGGACACTGGAAACATGGCAGCCCTGAATAGGAGGTTTCGTTCTGGCATGGGACTCTGAACCAGTAGGCACCCATGGCTTGGCCAG